ATTTATCTTTCTACATTCTTGGCTCTACCTTCCTGTGTTGGTTTAATTTCCAAGTAGGCTCAACAGTTGTTTTGGTGTGTGTGTGTGTTTTAATAAGCAGCAACAGGCTTGTAATTTACAAGCTTAGAAACTCTAGAGGAATGAGGATCTTTTCCCCAAGAGTCCTGGTAAAAGTCACTGAACCTTGGTTCTGATTGCAGCTGCTCATCTCGACCAGTCAGTGGGTTGAAGGCCGAAATGCTCTGATTGGCCCACCCAGATCTAAATTCTCGGCACACTTCTTAACCTCAGAGATGGAATCAGTTAACTTCATGAACTGAGAGTAGAGTAAGATTTTTTTTCCCCTGGAGGAATATTGATATACTATCACCCCACAAATGGGGAAGGGAAGCCTAGAAGATAGATCCACATATACCTGTTACCTGTGGAGGAGGTGATAATGCAGTATAGAATGAGGTTGGGGCAGATTATTCCCATGAACACCCAGGCTCTCCTTGCTGCTATTGCTGGATTATTTCTCTCCTCTGAGTTGGGGATAGGGTCCTACAGATTCAGATTTTTTACAGTATCTGTTTCAGAATCTTTCCAAAAGTCTTCCTCTGCCTCATCCTTTTTGTTTAAAACTGCCTTTTTCAAAACATGAGGCTTCACGACACATTTAAAAACAGAAACTTATTATTCAGTTTTATTTTTCTGTTTTATTTAACCATGAATACCAAGGCAGTATAAACCCATTTGTGAATATACTTTATTCTAGCAAAATTACAGACTAAATAAGTTTGGGGACTAGGCTGGAAGCTTAACCTTCTTTTATAACTACATTTTTAATGGAAAAATGACTTTCATGTCCCAAATAACTGATTTACAAGTGGATCACTGAAATACAATCTATTTGCAACACATATCACCAAGAAATCTAGCAGATGCCTCAAAAAACCTTAATTACAGGGAATCATTTTGATAAACTTAGTCTTCTTCCTCTACTCAATAACTCAGTGTCTTCCTGGAGCAGAGTCAAGGCAGATATGATCAGACATACCAGAGTTGGGTCAACCATATTTATTTGTATGGATAAATTAAAGAGGACCATGTCTTAAACAGAATTTAGTAACCTTGTGGAAGTATAGGGGGGATTAAATAAGTATTTTCATATTCAGTGAATTTATCAGGAAGTCTTATTTCCATAAAGATAAAAAGATCTTAATGACTCTTAAGATAGGCAAAATCTTTGATCTGATGGCTTTGGAGAAGCCCTTTAAAAGACCTCAATTCTCAGAGAACTTCCCAGGGGTATGGACAAGCAGTGTTTGTACGTCATCCTTGTCTGCTACCTTTGGTTTCTTGACTTGGAAGACTAATGGCAGTGATGTTGAAACACAATTCAGTCTTTTGAAGATTTCATCCATCCATCCATCCATTTATTCACTGGGTATACACAGGTCCAGGACTCTGCAAGGTGGGACCAACCAGGCCATTGGTCCCAAGGCCTCAAGCCTAAAGAAACCTTGAGTTCTGACATCTGCTCAGCCACCAGTGTGCATGGAAGTAGCATGAGGCCTCATCAAAGATGCTGAGTTCACCTGAAATCTGAGGGGTCCAAGAATAGCTAAAGAAGAGGCTGAAAGAAGGTCCTCAACCTGAATCTAAAAGCTGCTTGATTACAAGACAGTCTCTCAGAAAGTATTCTAGGTGCTGTACTGAGGAAATAGAGAAACAAATAAGGAAAGATCTCAGGAATTTACATTCTAATGGAGGAGACTGATGTGTGAAAGTTCATTATAGTGCAAAGCAGAAACAGAGAAAGACAGCTGCTATGCTGGAAATACAAGCTTTGGGCAAGGAAGGACTCAGGAGAGCTGCTGCCCCACTTCTTGACCTTGTCTGTAAGCTTTTGTCGGACAGCCTTTGGCTTCTACCACCTCTGCCTTCACCTCCGTGGTGAATGTCTTATTTTGTATCATTTCAAATAAGAAGAATCCCCTAGTCCAGAGATTCACAAACTTTTTTGGTTCATGGTACCTCTAGGGCAAAAGAAATGCCTAACGATTTTGTTTGTTAAGTTGCTAGTCCAAACAATTTAAAATGTATAGTGTATTTATGTCCTAATGACTTAGTAGCCAAAATACACATACATTGACTGAAAAATTTGTTTCTTATATAATCAGTTACTTACTGATGTGTCTGTTGGGCACTGCACAACCTCCCAAATCTTGACATTTGACACCCTTGAAACTGACAGCCCTATTTCCTGTTCCACATCTATTTTTTTGCAGGGAACTAGCTTTTTATCACAGCAGCCTCTGAAAACCCAGCTCTGCAGAGGTGAGGTAGCATCAAAGGGAGCTGGAGCTAATGTTGAAGCTGTGAATTACTGTAAGCTAGTAACCCATACAGTGTGAACAGATCTGGAGGATCACTGTGTTTCTCTTACCAATTTAAAATATCCTGTATCACTCTTAACATGTGTTGTAGTGCTCCATGCACAGTCTGGGAACTCAGACCTTAGCTGTCTTTTCTCTATTCACTTTGGTACAAGAAACCTCCTCCAAGTGTTATTCATGGCCTCAGTCCCCAAATCCTGTTTTCAGGTTTGGAAAGGGAAGGGAGGAGTCAAAATGTGGACTCAGAGAGTTGCCAGTAAACTGAATCAACATCAGTTAGGTCGAACTGAACTACACTCATGGAGATGAACTTTTAAATCTGGACAGGATAACAGAATACACTTATTACAATAAGTCTAGAGTCAGCATAGCTTGGTATGTTTTTATTTTTCATGATTCTGAAACACTTCTGAGTCTTAAGATCCTCACCACGATCATTTACTAACATGTTTTTAGGGAGTTCAGTGAGACCCAGTATAGACTTTTGTCATCAGAATGCCAGTTTTATATTCACTGTACTATACAGTATATTATTTCTCTGTGTCAAGTAATGTGAAATTGGTCTAGAGCTGCAGATGACTTTGGAATGCCTATGTTTTCTGGGAGCAATGAAGGAGAATGAGACATAGGTTTGTGAGAATAAGAAATCCTACTGAAAACAGGGACAATAGACTTGACAAAGTTTTCTTTCAGGACAAGATATGTATAAAGGGCTTAATGTTTCTGAAATATGAAATAAATCAATTTTTTAAGCGAATTGTGTTGCCCTGTGATCCCCCAGTGATGAAATCCACAGCATTCGTTTGCTTAGGGGACGGACAGGTACCACCCAGGACAAAGAACTCATTGCTGGGCTCTGAGCCTCGGAGAGAATATTCTGGAATCCCTACAGCAGTGGTTCTCCAACTTTAGTGAGCATCAGGATCACCTGGAGGGCTTGCTAAGGGACATATTACTGGTCCTTATTACAGGAACCCACCCAGAGTTTCTGTTTCAGGAGATCTGGAGTGGAGCCCAAGGATCTGTATTTCTGATGAGTTCCCAGGTGGCCTTGATGCTGCTGGATTTCATATCACACTTTGAGAACCACTGCCCTAGAGTGAGAATAGTCCCTGAAAAGTCAAGTGCACTGAAAGAGAAAGGGGATTTATAAATTTCAGAGCTTGCATCCCCATATCAGAAGCAAAGCCTGAAGTTCTAAAACTGGGACTTTACCATAAAGAGATGTTAGTAAGCATCACTAGCTAAGATGAGAAGTCCCTTCTGCTGCTGGAGATACGTGACAGAGGGGTGGGGCTGGAGACAAAATGACAATAGAGATACAGAATGTTCTTACCTCCTCTCCCTAACACCACCTTAGAGTCTAATTTAAATGGCAGGAAGCAACAATCCTTAGTTAACATTGGGAAATCAAATATTATCCAAAGCCAGCTCCTAATTTACTTGCCTTGAAATGTGTCAGTCCTTTCCTGAAAACTTCTCTGTTAGGGTGTTTCTAATTGCTATTAGGTTTTTTTCCCTATGCTTAAAAAATGTTATTCTTGCTTTAAAATCCAAAGTACAGCCTCATGAACGTTTCGCATACATGAGCAATAAATTGACTGGTGATTTAAAAGAAGACATCACTCTACTGCGTGGTGAATCAGTGCTTTACAAAGCATCAAATATCTCCTTTTTGTGTGTGAACAGAAGTTTCATTCAGGACTTGTAATTGTTAAGAATCTTCCTTTTGTTTCCCACTGCGGACAAAAGCTGTATTCTTTTTGCAATGGGTACAACCCTGTAATGGTGTTCTTTTTCTGTTTGGGTATGACAGATACCCTCTCAGGAACTAAACTCATTCTGCATGATGTACTTGAGACTTGGAGAAGTAAACCACAATTTATCTCCTCCAAATAGCACTCCCCAGTTCAGAGCGTGAGGCAGATAACCTCAATGTGAACTTTGCCTATGGATGTTTATCTACAGCCTCCAAGTAATATGGATTTATTCTGGTAATATACAGACCATTTTGCAGATAATGTCGAGAGCAAACATTTTATTACTGATTTCTTGCAAATTACACATGGCTGTGTTTTAATGGATTTTCCTTCCAAGCCTCAGTCTCACAATATGAGTAGTTCTACAGATTTTTATTATGATCTTGAATATTGACTTTTAATTATGCACTGGTTAACAAAACAAATAAGGCTGTCATTTCCATCAAGGGAGCGTTAAGGATGGAGGGTATCTTTTGACATCCCTTCCACCTTCCCATCCCATTACTACTTGTTTAACATCACCCACGCCAGATATAAAAATGTAAAAATCTCACATTACTTTAAGGAGACCCTGGGGCAGTTTTTAATTATGTTTATCACAAAATATACATGGCTTACAGTAATGATAGTTGAAGGGCACCTCAACAACCATATTCAAGAGTAAGAAGGGCTGTTCAGAGGGGCATGGGAGGCATTATTTCCATTTCAGTAGAAGACAGACTAGAAAGCATACATTTAAATTGAATCAAAAAAAAAAAAGGCAATCAATCCAGTGAACTTCCTGACCACAAGGATATCAGGGGAAACAAGTCATTAAAAAATCCAAGGACTAAACTCCACTCTTTTTGGCACATTTCAGTTCTTAAGATGGCCTTATAGAAACACAGCATCTGACAGCAATGGCCCAAGAGTTCTGAAAATCTGAAGGCAGCATCCAGAAATGGTGACCCTTCTAACACCACTCTCATTCTGAGACTCAGTGATCTCATCCCTGAAGATAAGAAGAGGTGGTAAGCAACTTCTATCTGGCATGTATATTTTTAGATTCTGTTTCGAAGTTTGAGTAGGGTTAAAGGCTTTTGAAATTTCTTCCTGGCTATTCAGGCAAGAAAAAAGGTCAAGAGCTCAGTAAGACCAAGGAGATCGTAGTTTATTTCTGTAGGGCAGTTAGCATTCTCCTTAACTCTTTGTCCCCAAAATATCCTAAAGTATATCCTGTTCAGAAGTGTTAACAGTGAAGACAAATTTGGGATATTTGAGGTCTTAATGAATGTTGGTTGTTTAGTAAATCTTGGTAGGAGATACGAATGAGTGAATGAACAGATGAAATTTTGACCATAATAGGAGTGGGAACAAATACTTATAATGTGTTTTATTTAGAACTACAGAAAACTGGAATAGGAAAGGACCTTAGAAATGAATCTAATCCATTTTTTTAAATCAGTTTTTAACTTATGGGGCAACCAAATAATTTGCTTTCTTTCTCCTCTCAATAATAGTGTCAGAACTGGGAATTGAAGCCAGTCAGATGGTGTTTTCTTACATTATACTGTTCTGGGATGCCAATTCTCTCTGCAGTTTGTCTCATGGGAAAACCTAGAAGTTTTTTGTTTGTTTGCTTTTTATTCCTCCACACAACAACCACCACCAAAAAAATCCCAAAACCAGTTATTTAGCTCAATCAGGGAACAATAGAAACTACTCTAATATGCTGCACCGTATTAAATTCTTTATTCATTTCTTGGACCACCATGCCAACTTTGCAAACGAAAGAACAAAAATAAGATGACATTAATTACTTCCAAAAAAATCATCCCTACACAAAACAATAGTTTTTGTCACTATCATAAAATTTTATAGACCCTAGTCAAACAGTAAGAAAAGTTGTTGTTGGAAAATATCAACTACTTTAGGAGTCAGTGGGCTCCTTCACAGATTTTCAGTTGACTGACCTCTGACTTATTGCTTGAAGTGGAATTTAATCCTCACCATATTGAGGAAAACTGGGGCATCCATGGAAAATAGTCACTTTGAATGGAGCATGCCTGCATTTTGGGAGCAAAAATAAAAATGGGGCATTTTTCTACCACAGAGGAGCTTTAAGCTTGTCTTAACAGTTTTCAAAAAAAGAAGCACCTGTCTGATAGAATTGCAGCCACTCTGGCCAATTATCAGGAATTCTTTCTCTCTTGATGATGGAATCCACTCTCAATAAGAAATGAAAGAGCACAAGCCAACTGCGACTTGTGGAGGCTATGTTTATTTCAGAGTCTCAAGGAGCCCTGTGTTGTTAAACAAAATATAAAATGTGCAATAAACTTTAGGTATAAAGGACTTTGTTGGCTGTAAAATTTTATTTTACTGCTGTCCTCCTATGGCTAAACACGCTCGAGATCAGCAAAGTATTAAAATATTCAAGATGACAGAACATGAATCCTAATTCCAGAAATATAGCAGTGAGAATGAATGACAGGGGGCAGACACAGAATGCCTATACTGTCATCTATATAAAGTCCATCATTTCTTTATGTATTTAATTTAAAAGGATACAGAGGATAGAGTGAGCATCCTTAATTGATCATTTCCATTACTCTTCACACAGACACCAGTTGAAACTGAGAGTGACAACTTTGAGCCAGAACCTCCTTGTTACAGTGAGTCACATGCAGGCACTTCCATCTTACTTACACACACAGTTAGGATGTTGGAGAATTTTCCTGAAGCCCAAATTGTTTCTACAAGTCTGTGGGAGCTCAGAAAAATACATACTGTTCAAAATTTCCCTGAATGTGCAAGGAGGCCAGGATTTGTACTTTGAAATATAAAACCCCTTATATATGCTGTCTAAAGAAAGCCTTTGTTACAGAAATAAGTCTCCCTGTGGAAGATTGTAGTTTCCAGGGGAACTAGCCCTACTAATTAGTCTCAAGGTTGATTTGGACATTGGAAAATAGTATTATATTCCTTCAGGATACGAATTATAAACAAGGGGAAGCAAAACCTTAAAAAGGGAAGAACAGTGGGCTTTCCCACTGAACCCTCGCAAAGCAGGAAGAATAGAAAATTCTTTCGGTTCTTCTGTCAGACTTAAAAACATAGTTAGGATGGCGTCACCAAAGCCCACCATTTTTGTTTCTTCTGGGATATAATAGTTACATTTGAACTTGATTTTTCGAGTTACACATTTCTCGTGTGCACACATGGTTTAAGGATTTTTTTTTGTTTGTTTTGCTTTCATTGTTCCCTTGTGTACATATGTGCGTGTGGTGTGGTTGGGGGAGGGGTTCTCACTATTGTATCCTTAGCTTCTAGCACAATGCCTGACACAGAATTTCAATCTGTGTATCTTAAAGGAAGATATTTTAGAACATTTAGCTTTGTTTCCTATTTATAAAAGCAATACTTACTTGTTAAAGAAAAAATATAAAGGCTAATAGGAAAATAGAGATAAAAATTGAATACATAATCTTATATCCAGTAATAACTAGTATGAACATTTTAGTGTGATTCCAGTGATCTGATTTGTATATGTGTATGTGTGCATGCACAAGTATACCTAGAAACCCAGAGATACACACATATATACATACTATATACAACCAGACACTCACAATTAATATAAAACAAATATTCAGTTATATATTCTTTTTTTTTTCAACTTAACTTTGATGAGTTGGGAGAGATATTTCATTGAGTGGAAAATTGTTTATAGAGTTCACAGTATGCACTTGCTAAAAAACTCTCAAACCACAAACTCTACAACCTGGGGTTGAAGAAGCTTCTTTGTGTTCCCCATACTGGCTAGTAGTACAATTTATCGAGCACATACTACGCGCCAGAAACTCTGCTAAGCACTTGACTCATGGTATTCTGTTTCAGTCTTCAAAACAACTTTTGGAGGTAAGCGCTATTAGGATCTTCTTTTTAAGACTGGGAAGTGTAAGTAATTATCCCCAGTGTTAAATGGCAGGGCTGAGTTTGAACTCAGGTCTGCCAAATCCAGACCCTGAGCTGAACCCCTGCATCTATTACTGTCTTGACTATTACCAGGACTGTGTTACACATTTGGACATGTCTTTGAGCTCTCTATCTTTTTGATCCCTTGGTACTGTTGATCCTACTTCTGCAATAGCTCCTGTTTTCCAATCCCCCATAAATGCCTTAACTCACTGGTTCTCAACCAGGGACTGTCTGCCCTCAAGGGAGACATTTTTCTTTGTCACACGTTGACGAAGGATACTACAGAGCATCTGTTGGGTAGAGGCCAGGAATGCTGCTACATATTCTACAGTACTGAGGACAGGCTCCTACAGCAAAGAATTATCCAACCTAAAATGTTAATAGTGCCAAAGCTGAGAATCCCTGCCTTATCTCATTTCCCAATCTCTCTTGTCTAAACATGAACAGCCTCCTAATTAGTTTCTCCGTCTTAAGTTTTATCCTCATCTACACTGCTGCTGTAGTTCTCTTTAAGCACAGATAAAAATCATGCCACTCTCTTGCTCTTTTTAGCTCTGTAGCTCTGGAGGGCTCCCAGGGACCAAATACAGATACAAATAGTTCTAGACTATATGACTTTAGGCAAGTGATTTAACCTCTCTGAACCTCAACTTCACTACTTGTGAAATAAAGGAATAATAACTAGCACCTACCTTGATACAGTTCTTGTGGGGATTTTGACACTTCATGGCTGGCCCAGGTTAAGTCCTCAATAAATGTTATCTATCATTAAAAAAAATCTTTGAAGGTTTTCTACTCCCTGCAGAAGGAAACTCAAACTTCTCAACATGACATTTCAGAGTGTTTCACCATGTAGTTCCACTCAGCATCCTCTTCTCTGGGCTGCTAATGTGGATGACCTGTGCTCTAGTTATGCAGGACTACCTATCATCCTCTAGATTCACGGAGACTTGGATGTCTGTGTCTTTGCTCATGCTCCCCTGCCAGCCCGGGAAGTCCGTCTCCCTCTCTTCCACCTGGAAACATCTGTCTTCTTCAAGACTCAGGTCAAACATTACCTCTTTTGTTTAGCTTTCTCTACTAGCTTGTCAGGTGAACTTACTCCTTCCCCTACATGATCCACAGTATTTTTGTTATTCCATCTGTCAGTCTGTCCATCCATCCATCCATCCATCCATCTATCCATTTATCCTTCTGTCCATCCTTTTACCCATCTATCCATCCATTCATTGACTGTAATACATAATAGTTAAGATCACAGGCTCTGGAACCAGATTTTGTTAGTTTAAATTCAGGTTCCAGAATCAAATTGATGTGACTTTGAACAAGTTACGTGGCTTTATGAAGCCCTATTTTCTTTGCCTTTCAAATAAGTGTAATAATGTAATATGATTGATAAATTTATTGTGAGGATTGAATATGTGTAACCCATGTATCATATTCCTTGCTATGCGTCAGCCCTAAATAACTGTTAGCTCCCTCCCACTTTCTGCTTGCTGAGCACCTACTCTGGCAGGCCCTCTTCACATGGTGTCTTGAATTATAATGCATGGTGCAGGTGCCCAAATCTCTCATTAGATAAAGCACTTGTTGAGGAAAGGTACTTTAAAAAAATTTCCTCTTCACATGAACACTTGAAATATAGGTGACAAAGATACCATTTGTGCCAATATCTGGCCTGTGTTTCATAAGGTTGTGCTGACCAGTATTTCTCTCTTAAGATGCTATGTATGCATCTGCTGATGTGAGAAGTATGGCTGATCAAAAGGAGTCTGCTGTTCTCCTGCAGTGGTGGACCCCCCTCCATTTCCAGCCCACCTTTTAAGCTGACTCTCTAGGTGTAATACAATCAAAAGAAATCTCTTCGTGATTATAACAATGGCCTTCAGCCATCTCCATTACTCTGTGTAGGAGAGATGATGTCAGAGACATTTTCTTGCAGGAGGAGCTCAGTGACTGCTCAGTTTTACATGTGGATTTTGAATGCTCTGCATTTTGTTAAAATCCAGATCACATTCTTCTCACTATGCAAGTGGTCCAATCTGATAAA